CTGAAAGCCACTATGGTCTTTGGGCGCCATACCAGCTTATTTGTACAGGTATGGTGAATAACACAGGTAGATACTTATATATAATGTGTGTATATAGCGTAATAACACCACAAACAATATTGTTGGAGGAGAAATATTAGTGCGTCTGGCCTTGAGGGCGACTGCCGATCAGCTGACTGTGTGAGTAGCTATGTCTTTGTGCCTTTACTCACCTCACCTTTAGGTGACACCTGGCTGACACCTCTGCCAGCCAGGTGTCTTCCTGGCTGGCAGCCTGCCTCAACGACTGGTTGGTGTGGGGGCTCCCTGCTGGTCTGCTTGTCTGCTAGCCGAGGTTCAGGTTCCTGGTAACTTGGCGGAAGTCCCAGTTGGTTCCGTCCCAGGTTCAGACTTGGCTGGGTTTAGGGGAGGGTTCTCGGACTGCTTCTGTTTCTCTCCCTCCTGCAGCGTTGCTCCAGTTGCACTACCGCCTTCGGCTGTATTTGAGGGGGTTCAGGGTCACTCAGCAGTTGCTCGAGCAGATGTGCAGTAGCCTGAATTTTGCTCTGCTGGTTTATTCGATGGGCAGAATCGCCACTCTCGCAATCGCTGGGTATGTTGCCTGACATCCTTATGCTGGTTGCTGATTCACCAGCTTTCGCTTTGGGTTTTTCGAGGTTCGGTGCCATGGCGCCTTCCTCTTCTCTCACTCCAAGTATTCACCAATGAACCCTCCGAAGTGACATTGCTCCTCATGCCTCTCTGAGGGGGCCAGGTTCTGGCCCCCTCAGAGAGGGGTTCTGGTCCTCAGTAGGTCTAGAAATCCATGCACATTGACTGATGCCAGGGTCTAATACATTCATATCAGCCCAGATAGCTCTGGGAAGCCAGAGGGTCTCCCCCCAGAAAACAAACTTAAATATTTCTAGCCTAGTATAGCACACATATGTATTATATTAGGCCTCATATTGTGTATTAAACCTAGGAAAGTTAGGTTAGGTTAGTCTTATTTGTCTTTACAACATTAATAGAAAATCTTTTTCCGGTATGTCTAAATTCGATAGTACCAATTTCTACTTTCTATTTGTGTTGTACGTCAGTATATGTACTATAGTCTTCATCGTTACTTCTAAGTACTACCAAAACAGGAGGATGGGCTGAGCTTGAGCATAGAGGTTCTATGCTTCTACAGTCTGTTCTTTGTTCTGTGTTTCTGGCTGCTTCTTGTCTTAATGTTAAATGGTGTTTGTGCTTCTGTTAGCATGATGTTGGTCACCTCAGTGGGGAACCAGCATCTTCTGTTGTGTGTGGATAGGTTCCTCTTTGCTAGGCTTGGATGCCTTTTTGCTTTAGTCTCTGTTGAGTTCCATAGCTCTATCTTTCAATGCTATGCTTTATGGAAGATGGCTCTCCATGGGGGAGTTCTTGGTCTCTGCTTCAATCAACATGACAATCCCTGTCTTAGTGGCAGGTTATTAGAGTGTTTGCATCCTTCAAGGGTGCTGGGGTGCTCTTTGGGCACAGGTGCTCACTTCACTTCCATTGCTTGTTTTACTATTGTTTTTACTCTTGTATTCTTGAGGGTGTTTCACTCTTGAACTCTTGAGAGATGTTTTACTATTTTCTTTGTATCACACAGGTTCAATTTTGTCATTTGTGGGTCTCATTTCTTGGTTCTGGGTTTGGTTTCTTGGTCTATGTTACAATTCTAGTTAATTCAGGCTTGGTCTAATTAGGGATCATGTACCATACACACCTTGGATGGTTCCAGGTTTTTCCCCTGACAAACCCTTATCCCATGATATGGATGGGATAAGGGACCAACCATCCTGTTGGTGTTTCATTAGGTGGGTGTGACCAACTCTTGCCATGAATTTTGTTTGCTAATCTAGCTACAGCTTTTTCCCAATTCAGTGGAACCTCGGTTTACAAATGCCCCGGATTACAAATTTTTCAGTATATGAAGTCAATTTCTTCGTAAAATTTGACTTGGTGTACGAGTTTGCCTTAGAATACGAGTGTTTGTTGATATATGTATGGGTCGAGAGCTTGGGTTCTGCCGACCGCGGGGCGAAGCACGCTCAGTTTACCAGTGGCTCCCGCCTAGTGACGACCATGCTTGAATTCTTTGTGAAGAATTTTATTGTTTTCCTGCTTTTTTGGTTTCTGGACATATAAGTTCTTATTATATATCATGCCTTGGGTCCCAAGAAAGTCAGTGGAAAAGTTCAACCTAAGAAAATAGTTGTGAGGATGACGATAAGAGGAAAAACAAGAGATCAATCGTAAACATGAAGATGATATGCGGGTTATTGATCTAGCTAGGCAGTACAACAAACCTATGTCAACGATATGCACCTTAACTGTTTCTCTGGGCCTGAAATTAGGCTTGGAGTTGATGTTAATGTGGAGGAGTTGGTGGAGGAACACAGCGAAGAACTGCTCACCGAAGAACTCCTAGCCCTTCACAAGTACAAGCAACAAGAGAAAGCTGAGGAAATTTCTTCAAGGGAGGATGGGGCAGTAGAGGATGTCCCTTTCTCATTAAGAAATTGTGTACAATATGGGAAGAACTGCAAAGTTTTGCTGAAAAGACTCACCCAGATGAAACTGTAGCAGGTGGTTATATTAACCTTTTTAATGACAATGTGATGTCTCACTACAGACAAGTGTTAAAATGTAGGGAGAAACAAGTGTCTACAGACAGATTCTTAGTAAGATGAGCAAGCAGTGAGCCACAACCAGGTCCTAGTAGTATGCCTGCAAAACATAGGAGAGAGAGTACCCCAGAAATGTCATCACTGCCTGATGTTATAATGGAGGGGGACCCCAGGACTATAAAGGAAAGGGACTGGGGGCCTGATGGCTGAGTGGACAGCGCTTGGGATTCGAAGTCCTAAGGTTCCAGGTTCGATCCCCGGCGGAGACAGAAACAAATGGGCAGAGTTTCTGTCACCCTCGTAAGGGGCCTCGTAGCCTGGTGGATAGCGCGCAGGACTCGTAATTCTGTGGCGCGGGTTCGATTCCCGCATGAGGCAGAAACAAATGGGCAAAGTTTCTTTCACCCTGAATGCCCCTGTTACCTAGCAGTAAATAGGTACCTGGGAGTTAGTCAGCTGTCACGGGCTGCTTCCTGGGGGTGGAGGCCTGGTCGAGGACCGGGCCGCGGGGACACTAAAAAGCCCCGTAATCATCTCAAGATATTGCCCCTGTTCACCTAGCAGTAAATAGGTACCTGAGAGTTAGACTGCTACTACGGGCTGCTTTTTGGGAATGTGTAACAAAAAGGAGGTCTGGTCGAGGACCGGGCCACAGGGATGCTAAGCCCCGAAATCATCTCAAGATAGATCTCAAGATAATCCCCCTTCCAAACACTAACACCTCTCCTCCTCCCTCACCGGGCCACAGGGATGCTAAGCCCCGAAATCATCTCAAGATAGATCTCAAGATAATCCCCGTTCCAAACACTAACACCTCTCCTCCTCCCTCACTCTTCCTCATTGTCTTCCATATGCCAACAAGAGTCCTCAATAAAGGTAAGGTATAGTAACAAATATGAGTAGTACTCTGTAAAAATGTATTTTTAAGTTAAAAGTTTTGGGTGTTTGAAACGGATTAATTCAAGTTATATTATTTCTTATGGAAAAATTAGTTTTATTTTAGGAATTTTTGGTGTACGATCCATCTCTTGGAACGGATTAAATTCGTTAACCAAGGTGCCTCTGTATGTCCATTGCCAATACCAGGCTCCGAGTTTCTGTAAGTCCATCTCCAATCTCACGACGATATGGTCAGTTTTCCATGTCATCAAATTGATATGGGAATTTGTTTCCTTCTATGGACAGTTTCCTTCTCCCAGTAGTGTGGTGCCCTTTACCTTGATTTTGTCGTCATGCCTTTTACCCTCTTTTTCTTTATACCCTACTTGCTTTGTGCACCCTAGAAAAGACTGCTTTCTTTCTCTTCGAAGTGCCATGGTAAGCTGAGAGAAGATACTAAGAAAGGCCAACCCAACTAAAAAAAGTCAAATGTAATGAAACAACCCTTTCTTGGGAGCTCCTTCAGGTCTTTCCTTATCCAACCCAACTTTATTTCCAATACTGCATTCTCGTTGTTGAGCTTTGACTCAAGAATGAGATGGTCGCCCCACCAGAGCCCTAAGATGTTCCGGCTGCATCTTGGTCGTGATGTAGGGAAGTTGGGTGATGATATTCTGTTTTGTTGCAAAGTTTTGCTTGGTTGGTTAATTTACAAAATTTCTATGAAGGAAGCTGAATGTGTCCTGACATTATTTTTCTTTGGGTAGTTCATACTCAGTAATGGAATGATCTTTGATCCCTACATACTCTCCGTGCCCTGTAGCAGGGGCAAGTCAGTGTGATTTTTTTTTTTTTTTTTTTTTTTGCTCCTACTGGGTAAAGGATAATCACAGAAGCTTGGGGTATAGAACATGACCCCCGGAGTGCTAGCTTTCAATACCAAGGAAAGCTACTGAAAGAACCACCCAGTAAGTGCCATTTCTTTTCACTTAAGACTTGATCTTTTTCTAAAAAAAAAAAAAAAAAATTGCACACCACATACAAAAGCAACTGATTATGCTGAAAGTCAAAAGGACAAATACTTTTACACCATACATTTTTTATAGTGCTACATTCCCAAGCAAGAAGAGCAACTTATCCAGGGCTTTCACAATGTTGACATCTCTGCACACACTAACAAAAGCTCCCCAATCAACTACACCGAGCAAGATTGGCTCACTCCAGAGTCAACTGCTCCAGGGTCTTTGGTGCCAGTTTCTCATGTATCAGGCTCTCTGGCACGAGAGTCCCTCACAGCAGGAGATATAAAGCACAAGGCTCCAGGAGGCATTATTCACCACTATCATAACTCACTATGTAAAACCTTCACACAATGTTGCTCTGAAGAAGAGAAGAAAGAAAAGCTACAATAATAGTGCATAAGTTTCAAGCTAGACAAGAACTATTATAATGCAATCCCAAACAAAAACTGAAGATACAAACTTGAGAGCAAGGATGCCCTGCAGCGCTAATATTTACTGGGGTCAACCTGAAGTAGTCGGGCCCGTTGATCTTCACATCCTGTACATGTAAGCTTGACAAAGTAACTGGTCCCATTAACAGTACTCTCGTGAAATTTAAATATTTAAGTGCAACACTTTTACCTCATAAAGTCATGTCAAACAGTACTTCAAACATTATCCAAAAATCTTTCCAATCTCACATTAAAAGATAACTCAATTAACCTTTTTTTACTCTAGACTCGTGCTCTTACTTCAAATAATATTTTTACCAATAAATTTTCTTTTTAACCAAAAATGAATGATGATTCCTACAATACTGATTTCAAGATTTAATAGCATCACTTGATACATAAAGAAACAAATTTTGAACTTCATGGTATATGAATACAAAACAAATGATTGCTTATTGTAAGTACTAACTAGCAGGAATTACTAACACACACACAGTTACCAAGATGACAGGTTAAGACAAAGTTAGCAGTTAGTTTCTAACTGTACTCTATTAATATGACATCATGCACTACCCAACACAAGTTATTATGCACCTCTACATATTCTACAACACATCACCTTATGCACCTCTACATATTCTACAACACATCACCTTATGCACCTCTACATATTCTACAACACATCACCTTATGCACCTCTACATATTCTACAACACATCACCTTATGCACCTCTACATATTCTACAACACATCACCTTATGCACCTCTACATATTCTACAACACATCTCCATCGAGTGGCACTACATACTTTCATTAATTCTCAATGCAAGTTTGGTCAGGTATACAGAGAAAACTGGAGACGGAAATAAATCATAAGTAGAGAAGTAGAGATTATCCGGAAGTGTGACCAGCTGCATACAACAATTATAATTAGATCTCTTTAGTGTGTAATATTCATTAGGAAAATTACATCAACCTCAAAACCTTAAGACTTCCATGGGAATTAATTTTTAATGGCATAAACGGCATACATTTTTATGAAATGGATCACACAAACTAAACAAAATAACAAAAATAACTACAATGTTTGACATCATGTTTGTACACTATATATTTGTTGACAAAGATTTTTGAGGCGTGACAAAAAATTAGCACAGTGTTCACACAAAAAAGCAAACAAAGTAAACTTCTGGCACATTTATACAAACAGTAAATAAATATGACCTGGACATGTACCACAGGAAGAGGGGTCCCAGCCTCCCTGTTTGCTGCTGTGTGACTGGTGCAGTAATTTATATATAAAGACAAACCTCGACACTCAAAAACTTTCTTCAGAAAAAACAATTGCTCGATAGTCGACCGTTTGCTCGTTTATGTACAAGCAAACATATGTTTATGTTACAAATAAACATATGTGTAAAGAACATAGTTAGTCAGTTTCCAGTAGCTGTCATTCAGTGCACAACCCCATTAAACTTCTCTGTAAACTCCCTTGTGTTTTTTTCTATATTTTTATATATTCTTAGTATAAATAAGTCATCTTGGCACCTAAGAAGGTTAGTGATAAGAGCCAAATGAAACGAAAATGATTTAGAACCATGATAGAGATGAAAAAATAACTTACAGCAAAATATGAGTGGTGTTCGCATGTCTGTTCTTGCTACCGAGTTTGGCATGCCTAAATCTAAAACTTCTATGATACTAAAAAATAAAGAGGCCACTGAAGGAGTTTATGCTGCTGAAGGAGTGAAAGAAATAAAGATCCTGGACAATTTAAGAGGTTGAGAAATTTTTACTGATTTGAGAAAAGAACAACAGTTGGCTGGTGATAATATTTCTAATGTCATCATTTGCAAAAATGTAAAACTACTGCATGGTAATCTAAAAAAAAAAAAAAAAAAAAAAAAAAAAAAAAAAAAAAAAAAAAAAACAGCGTTGAATGTAATGAAACGCCATTTTCTAGGCGAGTGCCGGAGGCTCCCCAGAGCTATCCAGGCTGATAGGGATAGTCCTAACGTTTAGCATCAGTCGATGTGGGTGGAGTTCTAGGCCTACGGGGACCACGGCCAGAACCTGCCCACCAGAGCTATGGCTTATAGAAATGCACATGTGATTTTGGAGCATTCTATATCTGTCATCGACCGGGACAGGCACCCAGAAAGGTAAGTGCCCCAAAACAAACTCGTATTCTGGTGAAACCAACGAAAATAACGGAACAAGTGGACAGAACTTTCCCAAGGGAAAACGAGCAAACAAGCATGACATCACACGAGCCGCGCCGCATGTCTGTGCAACTCACCCCTCCCTGGGAGAGGAAAGGGGTAGCCTCAGACCTCCGTGCTGGCGATCCACACCTCCAGTTCCATGGCTGGATATCAAAATACGTGAAAACCGCCGACCGGAGGGAGGGAGGGAGGGAGGGAGGGAGGGAGGGAGGAAGCCTCCAGGACTCACCCAGAAAATGACGTTTCATTACATTCAACGCTGTAATGAAACGCTTTTAATGAAACGAAAGCCATTCAAGCGCTGGGGGGAGCCCCTATGGGTTCCATGAGCTACTTCACCAAAGATTAAGGAAAAAAGAGGACTTACACAGGAGACGGTTGGTGCTCCACACCTCAATTTGAAGTCGAGACAGATTGTAGCCGCCGACCGAAAGCAACACAGGCCCGAGATGCACGAGACAGCTTGCGTAACGATGCCAAAGAAATATAAGAAAATTCACTTTCGCAAACAGAGTGGTAGACGGTTAGAACAAGTTAGGTGAGAAGATGGTGGAGGCCAAGACCGTCAGTAGTTTCAAAGCGTTATATGACAAAGAGTGGGACACCATTAACGAAGCCACCTAATCACCATACAAATGGTGATAAACCCGAGTCAAAAATATCAAACGCGAAGACTCGAGGAGAAGAGCGAACCAGTATCGTAACGGACTGGGATGATCTTCTGAAAGAGGCAGAGTCGTGGAAAAACCTCCGGGTTCGAACATCGGGCAAGCAGCGCCTGAAACCACAGCTGGGCTGGCCACCACAGGGCCAAGAGGACAACTCACCCCTGGTAATTCTCCAAGCGAGCCAGGACCTAGGACAACATCTGCACTGGAGGAAAGAAGTACAGGAAACCCCACCTCGACCAGTCCTGCCAAAAGGCATTGATTCCGACAGCCGCGTGGTCGGGGAAGAGCGCCAAATATACCAGAAGACGCCTCGACCAAGCCGATACGAAGAGGTGCACCTCCGGGTGCCCGAACGTATGGCAGAGCCAACTAAATGAGTCGGCATCGACCGTTCATTCCATAGACAGGGGAACGAATCGGGACAGGCCATCCGCCAGGACGTTGGACACCCCCAGGACGTGAACAGCCAGGAAAGCTAAACCCCGAGAACTCAGCTGACGAGTCACCCGAAGCGATCATCCCTCGGTTCAGGCAATGAACCACCGGGGACCAGTCCAAATGGAGCCGGATCGTCGATCCACGGGCGACCTAAACCCTCCGAAGCGCAAACCACAACAATGCAATCTCCCGCACCATGCTGTGGGCCCGACGGAAGGACAAACCCCACCGCCCCTGGCCGGCCTGTCACAAAGCCCCAGCCGAGAGACAATGTGTCCGTGAACACATTGAGCGAGGGCTCAGGTAGGCGCCCAAGGCATTGAACCTAGAAAAAGCCGAAGAGGAAGCCGGTGACGCAGCAGCCGAAGTAAGGCCCCCGGAGGGTCGAACACAGCAATCGAGAGGTGGAAGGGACGTCCCCGAAGAGAGAAGAACAGCCAACGAAGCCATACCCGGCGGGTAGACCATCATCGCAAAGTTCAGGCTCACGAACAGACCCTGGTTGATGGGGTTCTCCATCACCCTCGAGCAACGACCTGGGAGCCCCCAGAAACAAGCGTATGCGGGACCGCAGCCTAAGGAAAGATTCCGGAGGAAGAGACAAGGAAGCGGTCCGAGAGTCCCACACAAGGCCCAGCCAGGACCGATCCTGGGAGGGTACCAGATGGGACTTCCGCCAGTTCACCAGGAACCCGAACCTGGCTAGCAGGGAAAGCACCACACCCCTGGCGAGCACATACACACGGACCGGCTGGGAGCCCAAACCAGCCAGTCGTCAAGGTAAGCCAACACCCGAACACCTAACAGACGCAGATGGGCCACAACGACCTGTGTGAGACTTGTGAACACGCGAGGTGCCAGGTTCAACCTGAACGGGAGACAACGAAAGCGGTAACTCTGATACCCCACCACAAACCGAGTCAGTCCCTGAACCTCGGATGAACCGGGATGTGCCAATACGTGTCTTTGAAGTCCAGGGACACCATCCAAGCACCAGGCTCCAAAAGAAGCCGGACCTGGGACAGAGTGGTCATCCACAAGGAGGGGACAAAAAACCCAGGGGTTCAAACGGAACAAGTCTAGAATGAACCGCAGGTCCATACAGTCCCGTTTCGGAACTGGAAACAAGTGGGAAACCCACCTGAGGTATGTCGTCGTTTCGACCACGCCCAAGAGCACCCACTCCAAGATGACCCAACAGAGCGCAGGAGATGAGGCCTGCTCTGCCAGCCCCGAACACCCTGAAGGAGAAGGAATCATCCAACGCCACCGCAGGCCGTCGTAAACGATCCAAAAAAGCCAACAAATTGTGAGACCAGGCCTGAGACAACAGAGCAAGCCCCCCCCCCTCATCGCCCCGTCAATGGGGCGAACCGCGAAAGGGGCCCATGCCCCCTGACGAGAATCAGACCTCTGCACCGAGTGAGCACCGCACCGACCAGACCCAGCCCAGTTCGAAGACTGCACCGGCTCTGAAACTGGCACCTGTGGCCCACTTCGATGGGCAGAACCGCAGTCCCTAGCACGACCCCCCCGGGAGAAACCCACCCTGAATCTCCGGAGAACCAAAAGGTCAGACATCGGGCGGCAGCTGGAAGAAGCCGTCTGCATATACTGTTCGACCGCAGAAGCAGCAAACAGCAAAGGACAAAACGGTGCAGACAATCTAAGAGCCAGCCGCCCAAGCGGATTCCAAGGAGGAAGCGAGCACCACCTGCTGACACGTGAGGCACACAGCAAAAAACCACAACAGTGCATTCTGCACGATCGGC